AAGTGATTCTTCGTCAGGAAATGCTTTAGCAACAAAGGAAAAGTGTCAGTCAATGAAACTTGTCTCACAGTGTGGCTGACCACTGTCACACTGTGATACAGGTACAACACTGTGTTGTATCAATCTCCATTGAACAGGATTAATCTTATGAAAATTGTCAAGTCTCTTGCCTTTATCACTGAAAGGATGTTGCCTTCTGCTTAAGAACTTAATTTCTCCTCCGTGTATTAATGGAAACCTATACATACTTGCTTTTCTGCCAGCATTATCCTTTCCTATGACTAGTTAGTGTAGAGCAACTCATCATTCCATCTCTGACAACCACCCATAGTGATGGTTTATATGCTTTTACTACAAAGAGATCTTCCTGTTGACATACCTTAGCAGTTACTGAGAGTTAGAGGTGTAAAATACTCCTAAGCAGCAGGGTGGTATCCACAACATTGTTTAAATAAAGTTTATTCACTCCTCTAGCATTTACCTTTCTGATTAATGTATAGATGGCCATCATATCATCTCCAAGTCATATTTTTGCTCTGTAGCAGGAAGGCTCTTAAATCACTATTTTCATACAATCTTAACTGTCAAGACTGTCAGTTTATTTCTGCTCTGTGGCACCTCATGTTAGCAAATCCATTTGCTGCATGTTATCTTTGATGGGTCACAGTGCCATTTCTGAGTGCAGAGATTGCTGCGGTTCCTGGTTTAGAGTTTTTTAAGGGATTTTTAGCCTTGAAGAAGTTCTTTCATGTCAGTAAGGCAGCTGAATATTAACACATGCATAGCAAAGTAGAATCTGCTAATTTCAGAGGGAAGAGTTGAACATGTGGGCATGTGTTTTCAGAACTCGGCTCTAGATTCTGTAATACAACAACTGAAATTATAATAGACAAAATATTTTAATAAATTTAATTCCTAAAAGCCATGAAGGCTAAAAAGGTTAACACAGCAGCATTACATAGCTCATGAAGTAAACAGAGATACTATGTTTCACTACTTTTGTTTATGAAGTTTCTTGTTAGGATTTTGCTTTGGACTGTAACAGTCCTTCACTAGAGTTGAGAAGTTACTGGAGATAAGTCTTGGGGAAAAAAATTTCACCCCTGCCATATCTCTTTATGCAAGTCTCAAATTCTTTCACTTTTTTTTTTTTTTTTCTTTGTCATCAGCAGCATTGTTTTCGTCATATTTTTTTTCCTATTCTATCCCAGGCATGCTCCTTCTGTGGTGTATTTTACATCCTCCAATTTTGCACGCTGACTTTCCTTAGAATCCTGTATTTTCTAAAAGTTTCCAATTTATTTTCAGATTCTTGCTGCTACTACTTCCTCATGTTAAAGATTATGTTAACCTTTCTGCTGTCCTTTCCCAAAACATGCCCAAAATTTGGGCCTGGCTCATGCATTTGAGCTGTACTTCCTGGAAGTCTCCCACATAAGTCCCCTGTTAGTTGGTTTACTCCTGGCTGTGCTGCAGGTACAATTTTCTTTGGATTTGCAGGCAAGGCCTTTAAGATCATTTGCAGCTATGCTGTGGTCCTGTTTGCTGCTCTAGAGAAGCTGGAATGAACGTGATTCTGGGACACCTCATGTCATCACAGCTGTTGGGTTTCTTTACTCTTTGGCTCCACTCCAGAACAAGCTGAAGTTGATGGGAGTATTTGAATGGCACTCCATTTGAATGAATCAACTGTGCATAAATGCTAGATGGAGGTACACCAGAAGCAAGGGAGGAAGATTATTCTTACACTGACTCTTGTTTTCAAATGTCTTCTAAGATTAGTTTCTTACTGCTATCAATCCTTCTTGAATAACTTGGGTTTTCCTATATTGAATTGCTAGTGATTATCTAAGCCTGGATTAACTAAATTAAAATCAGTATGTATGTTACTTAGTTTATTTTATGACTATTTAAATTTCGGATAACTTTTTTTAACAGTGCTACTATTTTATGTTTTCTTTTTTGAAAACCTTGGTTTACTTTACGTCAATTAAATTCAAATAGTATAGTTTATTTCTGTTATAATGTGGGCACTTACCACTCTGATACCCTTATTTCTTTAGTTTGTATTGTTTCTGAGGAGCCGTATTAATCGATCTGAAATATATCTCAGCAGTTGGAAAGATCCTGAATACATATACAGAACAAGTGTGAAGGGCCCATGCTTGCATGTTCAGATTGCAATCTGTGAACGTTTGAATGATCTGTGTGTTCATACATTTGAATGGAAAAATGTATTAAACCTTTTCAGAAGAGAACACTGTGGTCTAGAGTCTTATAAGCAGCCTTTAGACATGTATTCATAAGTATTGTGCACATGGCTATTTGCTATTTAAGTAGCCTTGAAGTGTCTGGTGTCAGCTACTTCCCCTAAAGAAAATACTTAGGACATGTAACACCTGGTTTAGAGCCAACTGGCTTTGGGTTGCTTCCTTTCCAAATGCTTTCATTCACAAGTGAAAAAAGTGACTCCTCATGCTGTGAAGAGGAAGAGGAATACATTGTGAACACAGTTTTACAGAAAATAGGGACATTTTTTCTTTTTTTTTTTTTTAATAAGGGTCAGTGAGTCTTTGATCCAACCTCCAATAAATTAAATTGGAATATTTCTTTAAACTTCAGTGGCATTTTGACTAGAACCATATTTGCTAACCACAGCACTGTGGGGAGCAGCACGAGCAGTGGGGTGGAAAGAATTGTTGCTTTTTGTCCAGTCCGCTGTGACTGGGAAGGACCAAAGAGGGGAATTTCTAAGGAGGTGAGGTTCAGTGCTTTGAGACAGCAACTGTTGCAAGGCAGTGACCTTAAAGGAATCCAGATCTGCCATGAGAAGTTTCATTGCCTTTACTCTTAGGAGGCAAGCAGAATTAAGGGAACCATAGGACCCAAAGGCAAATGATTATTGGAACAATAATTTGGAGGAAAAAAATAATTGGAAGTTAAAATATTTTAATAATTTGAGGTTGAATAAGTGTCTGGGAAGACATAATCTGATTCCCCGGAGGCATAAAAGTGATCTGCTAAGAGTGTAAAATTGTTGAGAATAGAGGTATATATTGGCTAGCAATTAGTCCAGATTTCTGCTGCAGAATATGCATATAGTTATGGCTAAAGGTATGTCTTCGTGTGCTTCATTTTTAAGTCTTCCTAGAACCAGATCCTAAGGTCTTAATGCTTGTGGTCAGAAATTACGTCTCTGCAGTGTGTCTGCTAAGCCAGGGACCAGTTTTTCTGTACTGAGCCCTTGCCAGTGTACATTGCAGACTCAGGTTCATGCTTGATCATTCCTTGTCTGAGCAGACAGCTTGGAGATGCTCTTACAGTCTATTTCATAACCTCTAGATACAATTTTTCTGCTCTTCTTTGAAGTTTTCTTTTTTTACTTTCAGTGCATTAAGTTTACAATGATTTCTTGCTGGCTAGGGTCAGAATTGTCTGCATTGTCAGTGCCACTCTTGTGATTTATCACTCTCTGTTCTGCTCAAGTATTGTGTTAGATCCTACTGAAGGATGTTAATGAGTTGTCCAAAATCCCCATATCTACTATGGGGTCTCATCTGAACAAACCTGCCAAGAAGTCTGGTATTGTTTGCTTGGGTTTTTATTCTTGATGCCTCTTAGTATTGAAGGTTATTCTCATTGTTATGACTATTTTGCAGCAAGAGATAATGTTCCCTTCAGGCTAGGGAAGTGTGGGAGGTTGGACTTCAAGCTTTTTATTAGTTTGTTCTACTCTGCCTTAAAAACAGAGGTGTTTAATTTAGTAAAATGCTGCAAATTTCAGGGTGTATAGAGGGCTTTTATTCACCTTTAGCAGAAAACTTACCAGGTGATGTCAGACTAGTCCCTTTTTTGAGAAAGCTGATACAAAGAAGTTCAAAAGTACAGGAGAAACTTGCATGAATTGCCTTTCATTTTTCATGTTCCTCACCGACAGATGTCAGGAAATTTTAAAGACTTTAAAAATATTTTCTGTGAATGCTTTTAGTAAGGAAATGTTCAGTTTGAGTCTGAACTTGTTTCAGCACTTAGTTTGGTCACCTTGTTATGAGGAACTTAGGTGTTTATTCCGTGCAGAGTTCCAAAACCTAGGGACTGTACCTGAGCACACTTGAGAGTGAAAGGTAGTTTCCTTAAAGAAGGGTGCTCTTACTGAGTGGCTAAATTAAAATGCTAAATGGAACGTTTTTCCAGGACTGTTGCGGTGTTGTCAGTAGTATTGAAGGGCTTTTGGCAGCCCAGTGTTTCAAGCCTGTTGAGTGTGGGAGGGAGTGAGTCAAGCTCTCTAGACTAAACTCATGTACTTGACTTTTTTCGTGCACTGTCACAATCTGTATTAGTTGGGAATTAAGATAATTATATAGGGACTTCAGATTTACATAAGTCTTGTAATTATCCTTGAAATATATACTATATAGTATATGATATATTTTCAGATTAAATCAAAATCCATGGTGGCTTCCTACTATCTTCCTTGCACATCTGTCCTGAGCTAAAAATGCCACCTTCTCTCATTCAGGAGTTTCTCTTTTCTTGTGGCTCAGGGAATGCAGCTTCTTGCTCTTAAAAATTTGTAAGGATCACAAAGTTAAATTTGTATTGGTAGTTCTCATTGATGTAGAGATATTTGGGCACCCAGAATGGCTGAAGCACAAGTTCTAACTATTGCTTGTGGTCCTAGTTTAATAGTGCATTGAGTATCTCAAAACATAATCTTATTTTATGGGTTTTGGTAGTCCTAGAAAGCACTCATCAACTTGCAGAACAGCACCAACTTGTGTAAATTGACTTGTCCTCAAAGGATTTTTAACTTCTTCTGTCTATTTGGTAATTCTGAAAATGACCCGATTATGGAGAAGTGACTGTATTTTGCCACTTTGCAGCAAATTCACTCAATGAATGTAACATGTGAAAAGTGCTGGAACAAAGCATTTTAATTAAAGATTACCTTTAGCTGACAAATCGTTATTACATTAAATTTTAATATTTTTTTTTAATAGGGTGGGAAGAAATCTTACAGTGGGCCATGTGGGGGCCGTGACTGCAGCGCTGGATGCAAATGTTTTCCAGAGAAGGGTGCCCGGGTAAGTTGTTTTATTTCTTTTCACTATTACAACTCGTCCGTGTGTCTCTTATCAATCTTGTAAAAGATAAATAAATAAACGCCCCAACTTAATAGCTTTCATTCTCAAGCTAATAATTTCATGAAAAAAAGAAATTATGAAGACCAGCTGCATTACAAATGTCTCTGGCCAAGATTTCAAAAGCTGTTCCAAAGATTTGCAAATTGCCAGCTTTGCAGTCAGTCTTCAATGGAATCTCATTTCTTTGTGATCTGAGCCCTGGTTCAAAAAAGTCCAATGGTTTTTAAGTAGATTACAACAATTAAAAAAGAAAATCAAAGGAGTGTGGACTTGCAGTACAGATTTTTGGCCGGTTCACTGTAACAGCTTCTGTTTGTTTGTGGAAGCGCTTTTGACTTTGGCATTTGTTTGTGAAGGAACAATAACTCTGAATGAATCTAAGCATTTCCCTTTGAGAAGGTCTTTTGTTTAGCTAAAGCCTCTCTCTCTAAAGTCTGCTTTGGAAGGGACCAAATGTTTAAGCAAGGCTTCTGTAAAAATCTTTATTTCTTTTGATTGTATGAAAATTTTAACTTTTCTTAATGCAGCTGGTCATTTCCTGTCCTAGGGTAATACAGAGCTGCTGGCTTCATTCTGGCTTTTATGGCAGTGTTGATTTTTGTCCAGACACCATCTACTCAATGTTTTCTCTTAAGGTCTCTCAAGCATTGTTGAACTTATCAAAATGAATCTTATAGATTAATGGAAATGAAAGGAGGAAAGAGCTGCATTATAGGTACTTAAAGAATTAACTTGGAAGGGCTTAAGCTGGCAAGAAATAATGCTACTTGTATTGTTAAGTAAAGCAGTTATTCTTGCTGGAATTATATTGAAAAGTCATTCTCTGAGGGAAAACAAAGTAAATGAAGTCTTATTTAAACACTAGTAATCCTTATTTTTTCCCTGTGTATTGCAGTGGCACAGTGTGGGTAAAATCAAGGCACCACTTTCTAGGACTGAACTGCAGAAAATGTTGCTATTTAGAAATAATCATCAGCATGGACTTAAATGTTCCCTAATTGCAGACAGACTTGAGCATGAGTTCTTAATTGATAACTGATGATGTGTTTGTTCTGGAAGTATATAAATTATTTCAAATCATCATGTGTCAGGGTGAAAACCTGTCTAAACAGATAAGTGGAAGAACTTTGCAAGGAAGTTCTCAACATAACCTAGAATATGAGCTAAAGCCAATTCCTCAACACCTTTTGTGATTAGATACGGTGAGGGACAGACCTACTTTGGTTCTGAAACACAATATCCTGTAAAAGCTTTGACCTTTAGATAGCAATGAGCATCGTTTTTCTGTCTCTTTACATTCCCAGGCTTCAGCTTGATTGTTTGAACTGGCCATAACACTGTTGACCTTGCAGTTTGAGCTCTTGGCATCTCTTTTGTTAAGATGTCACAAAGATTTTAGGCTGTTTTCATTGCTGACCTGAGAACTCATTTGGCTTTTAGCTTGTTTCTTACGTGACCTGTATTGGTAGGCATTTTCAGTCCTTTAAACATGTGTTCCATCCTACTGAGACCTGTCTATGGAGTAAACTGTCTGCTAGAAGTGGTAATCTTTCCCTTTTACAACACTACTTCCATCAAGCCATACTCAGCCTTGCTGACACCTTCTTGGACATCTGCAGGCAGCTACTGGAGTCCTGCCATGCCAGAGGATAAGGAGGTGACTGGCTGAACGGGGAAAGGGGATGGTGTGATTACATATCCTACAGCACAGCTTATTTCTTGGAGAAGACTGTACAGCCTGAGGCAAATTCCTTGGCTTCCTGCCTAGCTTTTCCTCCATTGCAGCAAAACCTTTAAGTTCAGAACAGGCTAATGGGAGATGGGACTTTGCCAATGCCTCGAATCCATATTTTGTTTAAAAAAATGTTTCAGCTGTCAATTTTGAACAATTAACCAGATCAGAACAAAGCTAAGCTTTTTTTAAAAAAGAAAGAAATTAACTAAAAAGCACAAGGAAAATGACAATAAACTGACAGCTCAAGGAAAATAATATAGGCAGTGTCCTTAAATGTCCTTCTCCTCGAGTACACTTCTGATCAGATCAAGCTGTGATGAAGTGGTTTCTGACCGGATTCTTTAAAAAAGTTATTTAGGCAATAAAAATGTCAAAAGTGCCTAAGACCCACTGCCTGACTAGTGAAAGGTATTTCTATGGGATATAGACACATAGAATCCCCAGGTTCTTGTTTTTGCTATACACTGTTATTGCATATATAGGATTAAAACAAAATAAATAAAGTTCAAAGTCTCTGGTCTCTATAAAGTGAGTTAGCTCTTTGTGGAATAGATTAGGTTTTTCTTCAGAAGAAAGGGTGGTACAGTGTTTGGCTTGCAGTCACTTAGGGAGTTCTTCTAGCAGAGTGGTAAGGCACATATCTTACAAGAGCAGGCTGTCGTTTCTGGTGGTTTGTGTTACGAGTGGCTTGTGTTAACTTTGAAAAGCCGTAATGGTAGCTGGTACCCATTTTAGGCTCTTCAGTAAAGTTTAATTTGATCCAGTTTACTGTGAAGCTTGCATAACAAGATACCTGTTATGGAAGCATCCTTCGTCTTAGCCAGTGATTCAGAATTGGTCCTTGTATCTAAGGATAAGTTAATGAAAAGCCTGGCTCTGTGTAATTGAGTGGCAAAAATCCTGGGCCACTTTGCAACCATTCTCCCCACTTGATCAGTTCTTACCTTGTAAAGATTTATGGGTAACAGTCCAGCAATTTGTGCAGAAGTCCAGTTCTTAATGAAGAGGTGTCACCTTCACTGAAAAGTCCCAGCTAGGACCTTTTCTTGGAGGTTTTCTCAGAGGTCAAATGAAAAGATTAAACTGAGTTTGTGGCTCTTAATATTGAAAGACACAAAAAAATACCTAGTTAAGTTTACATGTCATGTGACAGTTTAAGAATAAAGGTAGTAGCAGAAGAATCTCCCCCAACTGATTTTGACCAGTTACAAATCTTGGAATTTTGCATATGGTTGTTCAGTTATACTAAACTGCATTGTTAGAATTTACACTGACTTTAATTTGAGATCTAACCTAACACTGTGCAAAGGAAATGCTGGGTAGCATCACAAAGAATAAGAGAGTCCCCACCTACAGTTGGAGTCTCTAGATGATCTGTGGGAATTTTAAATCTCTCCCTTCTTCCGTTTGTCTGGCCATCTGAGAAGCCAGCTGTCAAACTAGCACAACAAGCCAATTTTTAAAGTAAGTCTTGTGTGATTATGGGAATGCCTAAATATACCTGGTGTGTGCAATCTTTTGGGGAAGGGAGATGGTCTGAACATAGACTTGCACTTCGTGAACTCACTTCGGCATACATGTCTCTTTCAGAACAACAACTGAGGGGCAGAAAAAGTGCTTTATATTAGACTATCAAGGACAAGAGGGAAGGTGGAAAAAGCAGTTGTATTAAATGCTGATGTGAGGCAGTAAATGTACATTCTGGTGCTAGTCTCTGTCTAGTGAAAGGCTGGATTTCCCATGTGTTGTTTCAATGCAGGCGAGTAATCTAAAGCTAGAACATTTTTGGGACTGTCAGAAGAAATTATTATACTTAAACAGTTGTTTTTCACTCCCCTTTCTAGCTATTTGATCCACAGTTTATGAGCAGGGATAATACCCTTTGAAAATGTTGTGCTGAATTGATTGCTGTCTAGCAAAGAATTGCACTGCAGATAAGTCAGCAGTAACAAGGAGGGTGTTTCCCTTTTTGCAGAGTTTCAAGGAGCACTGAATAGTAGATGGCCTGTACCATTTCATCTCTGCAGCTCATTTTGCATCTGCTTATGATAGTGTTGGCTTTTTTTGTTTTTATATGTTGTCATCTACTTTCAAACACTCACAAAGATAAACTAGCAGACACAGTCCTTGTTGCATATGTACTTTCTCCTGTTGCCTGTTAGCTTATCTTGGAATTTATAACAATATTAGGGTTTGTTTTAAACTTTTCTCTACATGTGCTGGATCTATTCAGCTGATACTAATCTTTCATTTTTTCATTCTAAGTCCTGTCCTCACCTCCCACACCAAAAAAAGAATTTGAAGATAAAAAAAGTTTCCAAGGCTCCACAGATTACTTGGCAGAGTCTGTGTCCCAGGTGGATTTTAAACCTTAGAATTGCTGTAAATTGGGAGAACTTGATGTTACCAATTATATTTCATTTTTTCCTGTGATATGCAATCATGTCAAATAATGTATTTCTTACACATTATGTTTTTTAAAGCCTGCTAAAATATGATCATATGATCAATTAGAAAAGTATTAATAACATTAGAGAACCTCTTTCCTGCTCAGAAAAAAACCAGAGACTATTAATAGCAGCTAGTGTGGTTGGAGGAGTGTTATCTGTAGAATGAGGCACTTGTTTCTGAGGACATGGTGGGCACTTTAAATCAAGTCTCATCTCATGAAGTGAAGGACCACTGGTGTGCATAAGGTGTGCTGTGAAGCCCAACTCCTGACCCAGCTTCGATCAAAAGAAAACCTGTTGGTGTACTGCAGACTACACTGCAGTGTGAAGCACAGCACACTAAGGAGAGATTGAGTAAGACTGAGAGATTTTGCTGAAAAATGCAGTCAGAATCTGAATTCAAGGCTAGTGTACCCAGAGATACATAAGATTCCACAGGTTTTCTCTAAAGTTAAAGTGATGATAATAATTGTAGTGTAAATCATCAGTAGGCAATCAAAGAGTTTTTGGTAGAATTACTGCAGATCAAACACACTAGAAATGATAGATCCCCAGCATCCATGCACTGAACAGCATAACCTGAGGTCAGAACTTTGGGTGATTGAATCTAATTGTTATCTAGCATAAACTAATGTTGCATTGGCAAGAGATCTTAGATTAACTTTTGTCTGGAACTAATCCCCTCAATTTAATACTGGGTATCTTGTGATAATTAGTTGAAGATTGGTTGACATTTCTTTGCTATGAAATTGTAA